TAAAACAATTTTATTGTGGTAAAATTACATAACATAAAATTTGCTGTTTTAACCATTTTCAAGTGTACAATTCAATGGCATTAATTATATTTACAATACTGGGCAGCCATCCCAGGCAGAAAATCTGTACCCATTAAACACTAACTCCCCACCTCCCCTCCCCCAGCCCCTGGTAAACTCTGATCCACTCTCTGTCTCTCTGCATTTGCCTCTTCTGGATATTTCGTATCAGTGGGATCATCCAATGTTTGTCCTTGTGTCTGGCTCATTTCACTCAGCATAATCGTTTCAAGGTTCACTCACGTTGTAGTGTGTATGACAACTTCCTTCCTATTTAAGACTGAGTAATATTTTAATAAATTTTAATAAATTCTTTACTTTATACAAGGAAACCATATTTTTGGTAAAAATAAAATACCAAAACCCGTTGCTGTTGAGTCGATTCCGACTCATAGCGACCTGATAGGACAGAGTAGAACTGCCCCACAGGGTTTCCAAGGCCGTAACCTTTACAGGAGCAGACTGCCGTGTCTTTCTCCCATGGAGCAGCTAGTGGGTTTGAACTGCTGACCCTTCAATGAGCAGCCAATCACTTAACCACTGCGCCACCAGCCTCCTTATTAAAACAAAACACAAGAGAACCAAAATTAATAAGTAAAATGATTAATTCTTGGCTTTTTGATGCCAATTTATAATACAAATATTTATATTTACAAAGTTGGACACACACACATATGCCTGCTTTTCTATAACTTGCTTTCCTTAGCAATACGTCATAAATGTATTTTTGTCATTCCGTAATGTTGTCGTTATTTGCTGTCAAGCTGATTTCGAGCCATGGTGACTCCGTGTGTGCAGAGTAGAACTGCTCCGTAGGGTTTTCAAGGCCGTGACCTTTCGGAGCAGATTGCCAACCCTGTCTTCCGAGGCACCTCTGGGCGGGTTCAAACCACCAGCCTTTTGGCTAGTAGTTGAGGGCTTAACTGTTGGCATCACCCAAGGACTCCTTAGTAACATGCTGCTCCATTTTTAACAGATGCGTGGTGTTCAAATGGTTCAGGTGCACCGTGATTTTTTAATAAGTCCCCTCTTGTGGGATATTTAGGTTGTACTTAATTCTCACTCTCATAAATAATAGTGAGATAAGCATCCTTTTATTTTTATCATTATTCTTATTATTTTTAATACGTCTCGTTAGTTTTGAGATACATACTCCTGGAAGTAGGGTTTCTGGTTCAAAGGGAAAGAGCATGTCTGGGGGCGTTAGGAGAGGGACGGTCTCTTGCCTCCTGAAGTCTGGACAGAAAGGTCTCGCCTTTCTGTGTCTCAGCTCTTTGCATCCTTCTCGGTGTTAGGCAGCGGGCTCTGAGGAGGCACCTCTTTTAGGTTAATTCTATCAGTCAATTTGAAGCGCCACTCAAATTCATGAAAAGTCCTCTCCTGCTAAGCTATGTTTCCAGAAATTTCCTCTTGTTGACATGTAAGTAGGGAAACCTGGTAACTTCCTGATACTCCGGGGAAGGCCAGTCATCTGTAAGTTTTCACTGCGGTCCTACTGTGTGTCCATGTTGGGCTTTTAGAGGCTAGTTTAATAAGCAGACGAGAATTACTTGCTGCCAGTGGATAAGTTCCATGTGGCGTGAATTATCATTAATATCTAGAAACCTCTGATGACAGGATCTTTTTCTCAGCCAAGAACAAATAGGATTAAAGTTTGTAAAGACAAGCCTGAGACGTTTGCAGTCGATTTAAGGACTTACTCTATCAAAAGCTAAAACAGATTAAACCATATTCATTGTAGTTTTATGGTTAAGCATATTATAATTCTCTGAAAATGACAACCCCTTCTTGCCCTATATTAAACCCTTGACCTTCAAGAGGGTTCGTCCCGAGACCTTTGATGTATGTATGCCACCATAGCTTCCGATTTCCCCCATAAAATGCAGGAAGGATGAAGTGAAAAATGCATACGACTCTCCCAGGCCCTTTATGATTCTATAAATACAGGACTCCAGTCATTTATAAAACCATGAAAACAAGTCTGGGATGGAGCCCTCGCTGAAATGGTTTCCAGAATCATCATTTTTCTCATTCTTTATCTAAAGTGCACCTGGCAAACAAGCTGACATTAGAAATTCAAGTCTCGGCTGAGCTCAGCTCTGTGTATCTTACTTTATCCCAAACTTCATTAAATAATTGCACCGGTAGACTTTTGTTCTTGTTTTGTATTCCCATCTCCCATTCTAGGAGTTGATTTTGGGGGGAGCCATTTTTCTTAAGAAATAAAGTTCCATCTATGGAAATGACCGGGTCAGGTGGTGGCTCAAGGCCACAGGATTTGAATCCAGGACCCATAGAACTGTAGAACTGAAACCAGCCTGATACTTTGGAGTTACCTGCAAATAATCAACATCTTCAGTTGTCAGGGGTTGGAAGGGACTCTTATTCAGAAGCTCAACTAAGTAGAACAGTGTCATTTCAGAACACCCTGAATGAATGGCAGCTCTCTGCTTGTGAATGACCTCAGTGCCATTTCTTCCCTTCAGTAAATTTAAACATTTGCCTCTTAGTTGTTGCTCGTGCCCTGATCTCACTCAGCTGATCCTGGACAAGTGCAGAGCACAAAGGCCAGGCTCAGTCCAGTGGACCCTGCATCAGCCTGCCCGTTCACCCAGTCAGCAATATTCGTTGTTGTTGTTGTTAGGTGCTGTGGAGCTGGCTCCTATTCATCGTAACCTCACGTACAACAGAACGAAACATCACCTGGTCCTGCGCCATCTTCACGATCGTTGATACGTTTGAGCCCAGTGTTGAGGCTGTTGCGTCAGTCCATCTCATTGAGAGTTTCCCTCTTTTTGCTGACCCTCTGCTTTACCAAACATGATGTCCTTTTCTAGTCATTGGTCTTTTCTGATGATGTGTCTAAAGTAAGTGAGCCAAAGTCTCGCCATCCTCGTTTCTAAGGGGCATTCTGGTTGTATTTCTTCTAAGATGGATTGTTTTGTCCTTCTGGCAGTCCATGGTATATCAGTACTCTTCACCAGCACTACAACTACCATTATTCACTGGTAGCCCACTCATCAGCACTAGTCTAGGAGCTGGGATACAGGGTGACTGGGCTCATATGGAACTTAGAGCCCCATGGAAGAGACAGATGACAAACTAACCAGCCAGAACATCATCAGATAGGGGACCAGTTACAACCGGGTGATGTGATGTGGACCAGAGGCTCCATTGGGCCTCTTCAAGGAGCCGATGTTCAAGCCGAGCTGTGCAGCTGGGAGGGGGCCAGCCCTGGATAGTTGCCTCTGTTACCTAGTGATGCTATAACAGTAACACCACAAGTGGGTGGCTTAACAAACAGAAATTTATTTTCTCACAGTTTAGGAGGCTAGAAGTCTGAATTCACGGCACCAACTCTAGGGGAAGTCTCTGTTGGCTCTGGAGGAAGGTCCTTGTCTCTTCAGCTTCTATTTCTTGGCTTCTTGGTGATCTTCCTGTGGCATCTGTCTTCCCCCATTTCTGCTCGCTTGCTTGTTTAATCTCTTTTATATCTCAATAGTGATTGGCTTAAAACCCTTTCATGACCTTTGGGATATATGGTTGCCCACCCACCTTTTCTGCCTCTCATGTTTCTTGGGATCCTACTTTTCCCACTAAAACTATTTGCTGCCCCCCAGGGGAGACTTACGCAACAGTGAAAAATGAAAGATACATTTGTTGGCCCAAAATAGCTGGTGTACCAGACTTAAATGTAAGGTAGTGCATCCAGGAAGTGTGACTGGGTAAAACTTTTGTCTCTTTTGGCTTTTGTACAGCTAGATAAGCCTTGTAAGCATATTTATGGTTTCCTGTGTAATAGTTAAAGAGCCCTGGTGGGTTTTTTGGGGAGGATATTTTTGTGTCATATTTGGAAAACCAGAGGTGCCCAATGTAACCACATGGAAGGAGCTCCACAATAATTCCTGCCACCCATGTCCAGTGGGACAGACAGGTACCCACCAATCATGGCACCAGAGTACCACCAAATTTTCTTGGTAAACATGTAATCCTGCATAATATTTCTCAAAATCCATATTACCAACCAAAAATTTAAACACAATGATTCAGCATTCTTCCATTAATGAAAACACACGGTATCAACAAAAAAATTCAAAGCAGAAAATAATTGGGTCCTGAAAGGTTTAAGACACACCCAACACTAATATTGTCTCATTAACATAACAGAGAAAACCCATTTCCCAATGGGGTTATAACCACAGGTATACCAAAAAACAAACCAAACCCTTTGCAGTTAAGTCGATTCTGACTCATAGCAACCCTATAAGACAGAGTAGAACTGCCCGATAGGGTTTCGAAGGAACGGCTGATGGATTCGAACTGCTTACCTTTTGGTTAGCAGCCAAGCTCTTAACCACTGCACCACCAGGACTCAACCACAGATATAGGGGTTAGGATTTACAACACATATTTTTTGGGGGAACACAATTCAGTCCATAACAGTGGTCCTGGCGGAGTGTTGTGGTGGACAGAGGAAAGAGATGGTGCAAAGACCCTGAGGTGGGATGTTCAAGAAAATGAAAGAGGACCCACGTGACCCAGTGTGGCAGGCAGTGGGGGAAGTGGGACTGGGGGAGGGTATGGGCAAGAGGCTGCTATGAGCAAAGTGACCGTACAGTTTATGGTCCACACTGGGACACCTTGGGAGGAGAGAGGGTATGTCATTAATAATCACCATGGGACCACAGGTGTCAACCAGGGCAGTCCTGGCAGCCCAGGGTGGCCCATGGGTCAGGGCCATGGTGGATAGCCATCACGGCATCACTTTCTCCCTGTGCCAGGAAACACCAGGCTGGTGGATGTGCTGATGGACATGTGTGTGCTTGGCTCTGGCCCCCGCCACCCTGGTCCAGACTCCCTCCTCCAAAAGGCGGGGTGGGATGGACAAGCTGACACCCCACTAAGGCCTGTTTCTCTCTCTCCTGTGATGGGTCTCTCAGGAGCACTGCCCAGGAAATGCAAGAAGGAGCTCCTGGCAGTGAAGCTAAGGGACCGGCCAAGCAAGCAGGAGCTGGAAGACCGGAACATCTTCCCCAGGAGGACCGACGAGGAAAGGCAGGAGATTCGGCAGCAGATTGAGATGAAACTGTCGAAGTAAGTGCCGTGAGCAGGCCTGGGGAGGCCGCCCTTTGGTCTGGACGGCCCTGGACTGTCCCCTTCCTCATTGCCTTGCACCAGGGCCCCACACCTGGTGTTTGCAGAAGGGGTCTCAACTGAGGCACTGCTGGCATTTGCATTGTGGGATGTTTAGCAGCATCCCTAACTGCTACACGTTACACCCCCCCGGGACAACCCAAGATGTCCCTAGACACTGCCAACTGTCCCTTGGGGAGCAGAATCACCCCCATCTGAGAACCCCTGGTCTACAGGAGCCAGGTGAGGCCCAGGAAGAAGCAAAGGGCTGCAGGTGGGTGTGGTGGGGATTGGCAGACTGGGAGGGCCGTGTCTAGGGGTAGAGGCCTGAGGGCCATCCCTGCTCCCTTGCATGGTGTTGCCATGCAAGAAGGTGGATCCGGTATTGCCAAATCTTCTAAGGTTTTCCGAAAACAAAAAAGCTGGGACTCTGGAATTTTCTCTTTTGGACAGTGTATTGCCACACCTGGCGACCTGCTGTCTGACTGCAGCCCCCAAGCCCCTAGGCACCCTCTGCTTTGTGACCCCTGCTGTCCCCTTAGGCAGTCCTTTGGGTCTGGGGGTCAGAAGCCTGCTGTGTTGCGGGCAGGACAGATGGGGCTGCTGCATCCTGGACTGGGACCTGGTCACCCCGCCCTGGGCAGAGTGTCTTTGTGTGCTGGGTGACTGGATGGCTGGCTTCCCGAGTGCAGGTGCAGCCGGGGTCCAGGAACCCTGGGGTTCCCTTGGCTTCTAGTCCTCACTCAAACATGGCAGCGAGGCCACCCGGAGAGGCCGAGGCTGTGCAGACGGATGCTCAGCAGGTGGACCTGTTTCCCAGTCTCTCCAAGGCGGGGCAGGTGGTCGCCCTGAGCTTTGTGGGGATGTGGGGAGATGAAATGCTGATGGTTTGCGCACGTTGTCTGACCCAGCAGCCAGCTTCACAGCAGCGTGTCCCCACCTGCCTTGTCCTTCCTTCTGGGGATCAGCCTGCCCTGCAGGAGTGGCGTAGGGACAGGGCCTGGGTGCACCCAATCCCCCCTGCTCTCATGGCATGTCCCGAGCCTCTTCTCCCTCCTTGCTGGGGAACAGCTTGCCCTGCTGGGCTGAGTGGGGGACAGGGCCTGGGTGCACCCTGTCCGTCCCACCCTGCTGGAGCCCCAGGACCAGCCCCTGTCTCACAGCCCTGCAGGGCTGGGTGGGGCACAGGGCCTGGGTGCACCCTGTCCGTCCCACCCTGCTGGAGCCCCAGGACCAGCCCCTGTCTCACAGCCCTGCAGGGCTGGGTGGGGCACAGGGCCTGGGTGCACCACATCTGCCACACCCTCCTGGAGTCCCAGGAGCCGCCCGCCTCACACAGAAGAGACAGTGTGAGCTGGGCCAGCTCAGAGGTCGTCCCCAGGCACCAAGATTTGTCCTCAGTCCGTGCTCCCAGGCCACCAGGGACCTCGGGAAGTGCAGGTTTGGATCCCGCCTGCCGGCAAGCAGAACAGTCCTTGATTGAGAACCCTGCTCTAAAGGACACCTTGGGCCTCTTCTCTTCGCGGTTACTCCTCTGCTGAGGTGCAGGGGTCTTCACTTGGCAGGGGGGAGCTCCTGTTTCTGCTCTCTGCAGGAGAGCTTGAGCCCCGAGGCCAGCCACCCTGGTCTGTGATGCTCCCCCTCCCGGCAAAAACCTGCGTGTCAGTGTCTTCAGGGTGGAGGCAGTGAATGTGAGGGGGATTCAGACCTCAGGTGCTACGGCTGCTACACAGTGCTGAGTGCCCTGTGACTCTCCAGGCCTCAGTTTTCTCAGCTGTAAAATGGGATGGTACCCACTGCCCAGCTCACTGCAGAGAAGGGGCTGTTCAATGTGGCAGACGCTGACTGCTGGTGCTGCGGGCCCCACCAGCATCCTGGTGGTCAACAGAGGGGCCGCAAGCATGGGCTTTGGGACACCAGGGACCCAGGTTCAAATCCCAGCTCTGCCCTGACTTGCTGTGACCTTGGGCAGTGGCCTTCACCACCCTGAGTCTTGATTTTCCTGTCTGCAGTGTGGGTCGTCATGAGTCCTCAGGGAAATCCTGTAAGGAGGTGCTCACAGGTTTGACTGGCGAGGTGGGGCGCCAGTCTTCCCAGCTGCCCTGCAGGGCTGGCACTGGGGACGTGAGGTTTGCTTTTGCTCTCTGAGCTGCGTGGCTGATGCTGCCCACGAGACAGACCCTTGGTCCAGGTGCTGGTGATGACCGGTGGCTTCTGAGCCCCAGAAAGGGCTTCTCAGGGAGAAGCTTTTTAAAAAAGATGCATTAGCCCCACCCAGTTTATGGCTTCTGTCTCCAGGGGGATGGCCCAGGAATATGTGTTTTAATGAGTTCCCTAGTATTTACATTTAGCCAGGTTGAGGGAACTGGCTTCCAGCCTTATCAGCTGGTCAGAGTGAGGTTGTCAGACCCACCAAGCACTTACCCGTGACACTGAGTGTACAGGTTGTCCCCCACTTAATACAAGGTTCCATTCTGATGACTCCATCCTAAGTCGGTTCTGACATAAGTCAAATACCTCATTTCAGACTAACAGCTGATGCTTCTGGTGATATGAAACGCTGAATAAGATCACTCTATAGACAATGACGTCGGTGACAGCATCGTAACAATGAAGTCGGAGTTGTAACGGCTGTTGGGCTCGTGCGCAGTTCAACTGTCGTCTGTCATTAGGGTCGAACATTGCCCAACTTTCTATCCGTTACAACTCCTGACGCTGACTTCATTGTAGACGAGGCCATAGCCTGCAAGCCGGCAGTGTTTTGAACAGTAAATTATAAACCTGAACATCTGCAAGTGATCATCTGAGAATGATACCATCAGCAAATTACGCTCTGCAGCGTTGTACGTAGTACATATTACTAACGATAAGATGTGCAGAAAAACAGAGCGGGTTCTAAGTGCGGTTCAGCGTAACTTGCGTGCATTGTAAGTTGGAGACTCCCTGCATTGTTTCGCGCGTTTATCACCTTTAAAGAAACAGAAGCATATTGTTGGGGTTTCCCTTTAATTTGCTTTTTTTACGCCCAGGCAGCGTTTGTGGGGTTTGCCTACGCTGGTACATGTGACTCTGGTTAATTCATTTTCATTGATATATAGTATTCCGTTACATGAGTATACCACACTGCACTCATTTGTCAGTTGACGGACATTTGGTTCTTTTTTCCCTCAAATGTTTACATTTGTACCAACACTAAAATGAATGTTCCTTATGTACTTTTTCTTAAGCAAGACTTTCCCCAGGACCTATACCTAGAGCACAGTTGCATCTTAGAGCTGCTCGTCACCTCGCCAGGCTTTGCCAGATTGTTCCTCAAAGTCGCTGTACCAGTTTACGTTTCCAGGAGCTCTGATCCCTGCTGTGTGACTTGGCCGTTCCTGGACTGTCAGACTTCCATATTGTGTCCCATGGGCCTGACCTCCATGCTGTGAGGCTTGGTTTCGCGTTTCTGTGGTTTCTGGTGAGGCTGAGCCGTCCTTCAGCGTTGAGCATCATTTGGGTTTCTTCTTCTACTTGTGTGCTTGGCCTGTGGTTTTCTTTCTCAGTGATTTTTAGGAATCCACTTTTTAAGTTGTGACTTCTAGTCTTCTGCCAGTTTGATGAGCGACACGGTTCTCGTTTGTGGCATGTTTTCATTTTGTTAATGCTTTCTTTTAATGCACTGAAGCTTTTCATTTTTAAAGTAGTCAGGTTACCAATTATATACTTCAGGGGTCTGCAAATGTTTGCTGTGAGGGGCTGGATGGTAAATATTTTTGGCTTTGTGGCCAGATTCCTGTGCCATGGATGTACTCAGCTCTGCTGTTACAGACCAAAAGCAGCTGCCGACAATACTCAAATGAATGGGCGTGGCTGTGTGCTAATAAAACCTTATTTACAAAAACAGATGCTGCCCCGTGGGCTGAAGTTTGCAGACCCCTAATATACTTTATGGTTCGTGTTATTTATACTACATTTAAAAAGTCCTTTTCTAGCCTGAGGTCAAAAAATTACGTTCAACCATTGTGTTATTTTTTGCAGCCGCCACTGGGTTGTGTCAGTTGATGATGGTTTTCCATTTGATAACTACACTGAATTCTCTTTCAAAACAAAGTACTAAGCAAATCGATTTAAAGAAAAAATATTAAGTAAATGGTGATAATACACACGGTGCATTAATTTGACAACAGTTATCGTTCTGGTGCCTGAAGTGAGAAAAGTCAGGGACACCACCCCTAAATGTGGAGGTGAGGGGTGGGTAAAAGGTGGGGCTTCTGGAAAACCAAGCCCAAGGGCCTTGAAGGCCACCCTAACTAAGAGGCCAACCGCGTGACCAGCTGCCATCAAGTTAACCCCAACTCACGGTGACCCCACGTGCATCAGAGTAGAGCTGTGCTCCACAGGGTTTTCAATGGCTGATTTTTCAGAAGTAGACCACCAGGCCTTTCTTCCGGGGCACCTCCAGGTGAACTCAAACCTCCAGCCTCTGAGCTAGCAGCGGAGTGTGTTCATCATTTGCGCCACCTGGGGGCTCCAGTTAAGAGGGAGTGCCACAGACCTAGTTCCAGGGACTGCGTGTATTCCGCTGCTCCGGAGCTGTTTTAAACCTTGGATAGAATGGAGTAGCTCCCCGGAAACTTGTCACCATGTTTAAACACTGAAAGGCAACCCCAGAATTAGTCACAGAGAGAACAGTGGATGGAGACATTGCCCCCGGGGGGTCAGATGCTGCCTTCTTGGCTGCCTGTCTCTGTTTTCCCCTAAAGACAAGGTCTAATTGGGCCCCTTTGTCTCTGTGAGGCCAGGGCGTCTTAAGCATCACTGGCTGATCAACAGCCTGTGGTTGCCGTGGCAACTCGGCATCCTCCGGGTCCTGAAGTGCGGTGGTGTTTCATTGTTACTGTTTTGTTCCCAGATCCTTACTGTTTTGTCTCCTAAGTGCTCCTGGGGCTTTTCTGGGTGAGTGGTCACCGTTAGCTGAA